AGCTGAGTTCAATGAAATTTAAAAAGTTACAGTCAAATGGCTGAATACGAAGACCCTTATCTTGGTGTATAGCTTTGTGAAGTGCGCCTAATGTGTGTGTTAGAGAAAATGATCCACCCGTAAGACTGTGGAAGCAACTGAAAAAAAATACTCTACATATTAAAGTTTATCTACAGACAAACCAAACATTATAAAATGTTTCCAAATAACACGAACAATCATCTAACATGTTATTAACTGTCAATAGCAGTATTAATATTGGATTTTTTTCTGTCTTCAGTCTTCATGATGTGGATGGCCATGGTCTCTGCAATCAAGATTCAGCTGATCCCTCCGTATCCAGTGACCAAAAGCTCTGTCACTTTAAATGTTACTGGAATTACCGGCAATATTTGGACTTGCCTTTGGTTTAAAGGACCAAACACGAGTTTTGAATATCAAATCCTCACCTATATGCCTGCTCATAATTCCCTGGTTGCTGGAGGAAAGAAATATTTTACACGGGCCCAAGTGTTTCCCAATGGTTCTCTGTCCATCACTGATCTTAATGTGAATGATAGTGGTGAATACAGAGTTCAGATTCAGTCACAGACTGCGACACAAGCTTCAATTGACTTGAGAGTGTACGGTAGGTACAAGCTCATTTATTGTATTATTACTTCTGGGTATAAAACCCAATTTCAGTATATTTCCTGGCTCTGGTTAGAGGGGAGAAGGTATAAACCTCTGTCATATTTTATCACTAGAGATTGAAATAGCATAAAGAGCACCAGGTCATTAGTAAATGAGTCCAAAGAAACTAACATGTCAACCAACGCATTTTGAGGGCTTGAACACCCCCACTGTTGGAACTTCTTGCACAGCCTCACAGAGAAACACAAGCACACAGTCTGATATGCATGCTGCACATGGCTTGAAACAGGAAGGAAGCCACAGCTTTATTATCTAACTTATTCAATACGACAGAGTATACACCATATATATAAAAGATCTTATAAACACTGTCATCTAGTGATCAAAATTGTATACTGCAGGAGCTATTGTAATAAACACAGTAATGTGTACTCTAACACCCACTTCATCAGGACCTCAAATATTTGCAGTCAAATTTGACAATTTGATAAAGAATTAAAGCCCTGCTCTAGGCAAAATAAGACCCCTCTCCCATCCCTAACTCTCGTTACCTTGTGGAGCGAGGTATACTCACCTAAGCCAGACCCGATGTCCCTCACTGCTGCCTCACCTGTTAGAGTGATATCCATTTACTTCCTGTTGTGTCCCCAGGACAGGAAGTCAAGTAAAATCTCCACAAGGGCTACATAAATAAAATATAAAATAAAATATAAAACCTGACAGGGTTCTATCCCTTCCCTACTCTATCCAAAGTAACATACATGACAAATACATAATACATGTTTGCCTTTAGATAAGCTTTAAAGCTGAACTGTAGGCAAACAACTATATAAACAGACGGAATACTCATACAGGAGTTGTTATACCTGCCAAATGATTTTGTATTCTGTGCAATCAGTCCTGAGAATTTGCACAGTTCAACCTTGTTTGACGGGAGGCCATTATTTTACTTACTTTACTTAAAGCAGAATTATGGGGTTAGGGCTTTCCCCCATAGTTCTCCTTAGGCTCAGTATACCGCAAGCTACAGCTCGCGGTATACTGAGGTGCCGCAGCTGAAGCCGATCCCAACAATTATGTCTGGATCCGCCCAGCTGTGTGAGTGATGGCTGGCTCTGCCTATCTAGAGGCAGAGCCAGCTGTACCCGCCCCCTCCCCCGTCCGTTCTGCCAGTCAGCGCTGGAGGATCGGAGCGGGGAGGGGGGAATCCAGCCCCTCCCCTGTCATGGCAGAGAGCCGTGACAGGATCGAGAAGTGAGCGAACGCCGGTATGTGTTCGCTCACCTCCCGATCTACTGAGCCAACCTGTGACAGTCTCATTCACAGATGAAAGCACAGTGAAAAGCACTCACCTCATAGTTCTCCTTTAAAGGTCTCCTGGACAGTAAACCAAGAAGAAGCAGCGGAGCCCACATCTCTGTCACTCTGCTCTCTCTAACAGTATGTCCCTGGCACTGCAGCACAACTGTTGGTCTATCTTCCTCCCCCAGTCTAAGCTCCGCTATACAGGGACTGAAAGATGTTCATATAAATTCAATAATTACACTGCTTACATCTAAAAAATAAATGTAATTAAATATTATTGAATACAGAGCTGCATTCATATGTGGTTTTTATATCTGCCTGGAGTTCAGCTTTTACCTAACCCTGTCTAAATTAATTGATAGAAATATAAAGATGGCTTGAAAAACCTGAAGGGCTCTGTATAATTAGGTGGCAGATACACTTTTTTTTAAATAGTGTTGGGCGTTATGATCGTATATACCAGGGGTAGGCAACCTTGGCACTCCAGCTGTGCTGAAAGTACAAATCTCACCTTGATCCAGATTTTGAGAATCATACCTGTGGCTTTCACAGTCTTGCAATGACTCACGGTACATTCACAACAACTGGAATTTTTCCGGTACTCGCCGATACCGAATACCGATACCGGAAGACCCGTTAAGGAAGCCAGGTGGCGTGTAATGACTCGTCACCCGGGTTCCCAATAAGCAGGGAAGCCGTCTCCATGCTCCCTTGTCACCAGGTGACAAGAAAGCATGGAGACGGCTTTTTGGCCTATTAGGAACCGAGCGCCGTGTAATGACGCGTTGCCAGGCTTCCTGATTGGTCGAGAAGCTGGCCAATCAGGAAGCCAGGCAACGCGTCATTACACGGCACCTGGCTTCCTGATTGGCCAGGAAGCCGACTCCATGTTCCCTCGTCAGAAAGCTGGGGGGCATGTTATGACTCATTGTCCGGCTTCCTGATTACCCAGCTATCAGGAAGCTAGGCGGCGAGTCGTTACACACTGCCCGGCTTCCTGATTGGCCAGGAAGCCAACTCCATGCTCCCTCGTCACTTGTGTGTAATGACTCGCTGCCCGGCTGATGATACTGGAAGCTCAAGTACCGGGCTAGGAATCGGAGCATTCGTGCGAGTACGAGTACTCTCCCAAATACTTGACACCGATGCCAATACTAGTATCAGTATCGGTGCATCCCTACCCTGATGTATGGTAAAGTACAGACGTAGGCAACCCTGGCTCTCCGGCTGTGCTGAAACTACAAATTCCATAGTGTCTCTGCCTCTGGGAGTCATGCCTGAGACTGTCAGAGTCTTGCAATGTCTCATGGGACTTGTAGGAATAATAGTACAACATATCAGGACTGAACTCACATCCTATGTGTTTAGATTTCCTCTAATTGTAGGATGTCCTCTATTTACAGAGCTGGTTGGTAAACCTGTAATCACAGCTTTCCACTCCCAGGTCCAGGAATTTGATGCTATTAACCTGACATGTTCTGCAGCCAATGCTGATACGATAATATGGAAGAAGGATGATGCCAGCCTCCAAGATGACAACAGATTATCAGCAGATACCATGACCATCACCCTCTCCAGCGTGAACCGTACAGATGCCGGAGAATATCAGTGTGAGGCTCAGAATAAAGCCAGCAAGAGCACCAGTGACCTCTACACCCTGACTGTCTCCTGTGAGCAATTACCTTTTACTACATTAAGATAAATCCAGCCAAAACTGATATTCCACTGCGGGGGTCAATGCTGGCACCTTGGGTCACCTGCTGGCTTTTCACAGCACTTGGGATCTCCAGGTACAAGGTCTAGGTACTATGTTTCTGGCCCCACCCACCTGCCACACCCATTCGGAATAAGTCTTATACTTGCTGCTAGGCTTTCTCTACAGATGTCCCCAAGCAGTATAAGAAACTTGTTGGATGATTCCAGTCATCAGCATCAACCCCATAAGTGCAATGTAAGTTTTGGATGGGATAAAGATTTAAATGTTTTATTTTAGAAATGCTATTGAAAAAATGTTGTTTTGTAAACGTCCGGACAAGACATGCAAAAAACAATATTACTTAATGAAGGAGGAATAACAATATGGCACTCACAACCATTGTTGAAGCATCTACGAGGAGATGGCCTTGGACAACCTACCTGCCCTATGGCCAGCAACAGTGCTGTATCTCCGCTACTGCAGACAACCTACCTGGTCAGTGGCACTTTACCACTCAGCAGGTTGGTTGTCTGCAGTAGCGGAGATCCAACCCTGTTGCTGACCATAGGGCAGGTAGGACTCCTGGGTATCTTGGGGAGCACTATGATTCATAGGATGGTTGGCGATATTGGGCAGTCTCATGTTAACATGTATAACGTCAATTCAAAAATATACAACGCATACAGTTACCTGCTAAATATCATCTAAAAATACATGGGACACATATATAAATAATACAACTGGGTTAAAAAAAAAGGATGTGGATACATACAATGATAATATTATTAAGTGGCAATATTCACGCCACATCCTGGAGCTTTCAAGCTGGTGGCAATAACTTCACCCAATCTTCTCCCAAGTTCAGGATCTTCAGCTATTTGATTGGTCATGCCAGGGTGATATAACTCCCGGGCATGCACAGATCAGTGTACATTGTCATGAAGATTGTTTGCGAACAGGCAGGTAAGATTTCCCTATTGCAGAGTAGACTTGCAGGGCTATTCACAAAATGGTGAAGAGTTTGGAGAAGGCAGGAGAAGTGAACAATCGAGGACAACATCGCTGATTTGGAAAAAATCTCCAATTCAGCTCACTTTCCAGTTCAGCTATGTTCTCCTAGATTGTTCACTTCTCCTGCCTTCTCCAAACTCTTCACCATTTTGTGAATAGCCCTGATAGGATGTGTCTTCTTCAATGAAAAGCCTGCCTGCTCCTGAATTTTGGGTGTGTGGGGGGTAAAGGAGGACTGTAGTAATGCATCAGATGCATCATATATCTCATTTATTATTTTGCCCATAGTTCCACTTGAAATGACAATGTGACTGAAATCTGGTGACATCTAGTATTCATATTGTACCGTGTTTCCCTGAAAATAAGACCTACCCCGAAAGTAAGACCTAGCACTATTTTTCAAGATGCCTGTAATATAAGACCTACCCCGAAAATAAGACCTAGTTTGTTGGTAGCATGTGAGGGGGAACTTGAAGAGCAGGAGAGATGGTATCAGCCTGCAGGAACATACTGTATTAAGGTGATGACAGGGGACTCCCTCTGGCCAGCGCAGTGACAGGGAGCACTCCAGTACCATACTTCACCAACTGCTGTCCCCCTGAAGGCACTGCTTAATGTAATGGTACTGTACTGTAATGTGTACCGGTAAATAGTACCGTACTTTACCGCGCTGTCCACTGTCTGATGTCCCCACTGCTGCACTGCTGGTACCGCTGTCCCTGATGGCAAAGGAAGCCGGTGCTGTAGAAAGCAAGGCTGCGGCGGTGGCGGTGGAGGGAGCAGAGCCACATTAGCCGATACTTCCTCTATAGCGCCGGTTACTGTGACAGGCGGAGTGATACCAGATGCACTCCGCCCGTGAAAGTGAAAGAAAGGGATCAGCATTACCGATACTGACCATTTTGTTGAACATTAAAAAAAAAAGACATTCTCTGAAAAAAGACCTAGTGTGCTTTTTTGGGGCAAAAAAAATATTAGACATTGTCTTATTTTTGGGGAAACATGGTAGCACTACATCTTGTCCTGTTCTAACATCAGCATGGTAATATGAATACATAGTAGAGTTGTTTGTGATAATACAATCAAAGCTTACTGTAAAAAATCCCTTTGTAGTCGCATCATGGGCCTCTGGGTTGTACTTGCCCCCTGGGCTAAAAGTTGCCAGTCAGCCCCTGGTGGGCATCTTCAATAAATAAGTTTACAAACTTCTAGATCGAGATGTTATTAGGATTTGTATAGAACTTATGACAATTCAATATAGAAATACATATTTTTTTAGTTTTTGACCAAAGATACCCAAAGATACAATATAAACAAAAGCACTTCACATGAGGAAAAATCTCACAACTATAAAATGGTACTAACGTCCAGTTCCTAATTTAAAGTGGACTCTGCCCCCCTTCTGCGCATATTTAACTGGCACCGTTACTGTGCTTACTACAGTAAAACAAACAGCTCTAATGATCATTTCCTGCTTCCTTGGATAGTATGTTGCACAAGCTAATGCTCCTCTTCTCCTCCTCCTGTACTAGCGAGCTGCCATTTTTAATTTTTAGTGGAAGCTGCCATTTTTAATAGCAGATGTCATTGGTGGCCAGATTCTTTTCTTCTGCATTTTCTCAGCCAACCCACTGATGACATCAGTACCAGATCTGGGTAGAAAAAAAAACCAATGACTTCTTGCCAAGATCTCACAATATTTCATAAAACTTTGAGATCTCAGAAAAAGGATCATTCTTCAGATCTTGTAGTTTACATATGATACCTTTTTTGGAAGGCACTGGTGATGTAGCCTTCCCAGGGTGTAGCTGTGAGGCCGGGGTTACGTCTCCAGTGCCTCAATCAACCAGGAAGTGAGATTCATCAAAAATATAAGTAACAGAATAAATGTTTGATTGCACAAATTTGTTTTCAGATCAGCACACAGGGAATGTATTAGGAATTTTCAGTGCTGGGGGGTAATGGTCCCCTTTAATCCCATGGTATTTAGTGTATATAAAATGGAAATCCATTAAGTTTTAAGGTTGTCTTTTAAACCTTTCTAATGGAGTTCTATTATTAAAGAAAAGCTACTTTGTTTAGAGGGGGGGTCAAATAAAGCTGTATTACTTACCCAATCCTAGCTCCCACAGCAATCAACACTCACCTTCAATGGACCTGTATAAAGCGTGAGGATGTCAGTGGTCCTTATACTGCCGGAGCCCAGGGGAGTAGAGGCTGCGAGGACCGGTCTAGCAGCCCAGAGGGAGCCAGGATCAAGTCAGTAATTTTTTTATGCTTGAGTGTGAAATTACGGGGGCCGCTGTGATTAAATCCTGTATAATAATAATTAGGCACCGATATATATCGGCTGCCGAAAAATATCGGCCGAAAATGGCACTTTTAGCATAATGCCAAAAGGAGAGCACTATGAGCGGTCGGCGTCTCTCCTCCCCGTACCGCTCAGCCTCCTGTCACAGATCAGAGGAGAGCGGTGTGGGCGGAGACAGCCAATGCTGTCACAGCAGGCTGAGCTCCACTCGCTCAGCCTCCTGTGACAGCTGTCAGGAAGGAGAGCGAGGTACAAACACTCTGCGATCAGTGGTCGCTGAGTGTTTGTAAATATTTGAGGACAGTATGTTTACTATATCCTCAATTATGAATGAATGGGAAGTGATCTACATCATTTCCTGTTCATTCATGATTGTGGTTATAGTCAACACACAATGTCCTCTTGTTATCAATGAACAGGAACACTCATAGAGCATAAAGGATTCCTGTTCATTTATAACCAGGGATGCAGAAAACGAGATAGTGTCCTCAATCTCCTTTTCTATTTTAAAAGGGAAATATCAGGGGGTCTGTTTAGAAGCCCCTAAAAGTAAAGTAAAAAATAAAAATATTTAATAAAAATAAAACATAAAAAATTAAAAAGTTTATAAAAAGAAATACAAATAAAATATAGAAAAAATAAAAAAATGGAAAATAAAAAACATTTTCAGTTTCGGCTTAAAATTTTTTTTCTTTTGGTTACGGTTTTGAAATTTTAATGTCGGTGCACCTCTAATAATAATAATAATCAGCTTTGTAAAATATTTTGTCAATGTTCTCCAAAGGTTGAAACAGAATTTTCTATGGTCTATATAGAGTAACCCACAAAGGCAGGTAAGCCCAAACACTACAAGGTCTGTTGAGCAATTAATATATATTATTTATTAATGGCTGGATGACGTGATTGCTGTTGGATTCACATTGGGGGACAATGCTTATTTAATAAAATACTTTTTCATGGTGTTTGTGTGTTTATTTAATATTTTGGGGGAATCAGTAACAAGGGATACTACTGTATGTACGTCTCATTCACAAAGGATATTCAAGGTTTTCTTTTTAAGAAAACACTGTTTTTCCTGGATACATGTCACTATGGCAGTGGTCAGCTCCCCATGTTCTTATTTAAAAAATCTTGTATATTGGCCCCCAGAAAAAATAGCAATATTCCTCTCTCATAGACTTCAATAGGGTTTTGGCGCTATGTTCAGGTCTTTGGATTTCCTGTCCACTGAACCCATCTCTACCCCTTACCTATAACTCATTATTTTGTATTGCGGCTTATTAGCATTAGACTTAACATCTACAGCAGGGGTGTCAAACTCAATTTAATCGTGGGCCACATCAACATTATGGCCGCCCTGAAAGGTGTCTGTAAGACTATATAAATGTATCTAATCTTTATCATAATTGCCTCTGCATTTGATTATCACTGGTTTTAGAAATAACTTAATACCTAGATCTGAAAGTAGAAGTCTAGCTAGCTGCGGTTTCGAGAGCCTTTCGGTTCAGTCAAACCGAGGGGCTGCTGTACGGGATATTCACTATAGCCCATACAGCTCCTGCAGGCGGCCGAGCGGCTCAGCCAAGCCGAAGGCATATGCTACGGCTCAACTGAGCTGAAGTGACAGCCGAAGAGGGGCGAACGGCCAGCCGTACGCCTCACAAATGACAGCTGGGCTGAGCCAGCCGTAATCTAATGGCTCCGCCCAGTTGTAGTGACAGATCAGCGTCCCCAAATAACTTGAGGACACTGATCTGTCATTAAACAATAACAAATAACCAGTTGTTATTCATTGGCCGAGACCTGTTAGAAGACTCTAGCAGGTGGCAGCCAATAGGAAACAGCTGGGCGGAGCTAGCTGTCACTGCTATCTCCGCCCAATTGTTTTTTTTTAATCTTTATTTCTTTTTTAAAATGTATTATTTCTTTAAATTTTTATTTTTTTTAATTTCCCAACTTTTTTTTCACCAACTTTTTTAACTATTTGCTATTCTGCTCGGTACCGCAGAGGTACCGAGCAGAATAGCTGAGCCGAATGCCTGTTAGTATAACATTTACACTTTACCCTATAAATTTGCACTATACTTATACTCTATAAATTTACACTTTACTTATACTCTACCAGTATCAATATGTTGCAACTTTTACAACAACATATCTCTACTTTACTTGACATCAGCATCTCTCATTTTCAGTATATATTATATTAATATATTATAGAAACCAATATTAATTAATTAATAGAAACATACTGTCCATAGGTTGGACTTGATGGACTTATGTCTTTATTCAACCTCAAATACTACGGTATGTAACTATGTAACCTTCTAGTGGCCATTTCCCATTATTTCTTTATTCATGGTTCCCCTATCCCTACATGAACTTGTGATTATATTTTATATATATATAATATCAACTTGTGTCCATTTTCTCAGATGCCTCGGAATGCTCTACATGTGATACAAACACTGCCGTCATCTCAGGAGTTGCCTGCGCAGCCGTCCTCATTGTTGCAGTACTGTTTACCATTTGCTTCCTCCTCTACAAGAAATGCTTCCATCCTGTACACGAGATTACAGGTATGTATAGAGACTGAAATCTATGTAATGGGAAACAATATTATATTTTTAGGCAGAACATATTTGGAGTTATTCATTTGAATGTAACTTTTATATGTTAAAGGAGTTGTAAAGTCCCAGCATACACTATCCTGTTATAACATCAGCATTGTAATAGGGAGACATACTGGAGTTGTTTTTGATAATGCAATCAAAGCTTACTTGTAAATAATCCCTTTTATCTAGTGAGTGCTGCCTTCCGTCTGCCCGTCACTTTTAACAACTATGTAGATTTCCAATGTGCTTTGCATCTCTTTCCCTGCTGCTTGATGTGATGCAATCTCAGTTTCTTAAGGCTACATATCCCATCATGCATTGCTGCCAGCAAGCAATGATAATGTTACAATGTTACATTGTTCAGACGTTGAGTTGTAGTTCAGAAAGCAGGTTCTGTGAGAGTGGTGGCACAAGGAAGTGCATATTCATAGGGCTGAGTGAAATTGTGTCAGTGCATTGAGGAAGTACATCCTATGGGCATCTTCAATAAATGAGTTGAAAACATTTCTAGTAGATCGGTATGCTTATTAGTAGTGGGTTCGAATTTCTGGAAATGAAATAAAGAAATACAGATTTATTTTTAGCTTTAGACTAGGGATGCACCCTTTCGGTATTGAGTACGAGTACAGATATTTTTTTTTCCGGTACTCGCCGATACCAAATCCCGATACCGAAGGTCCCATTAAGGAAGCCATGCAGTGTGTAAAGACTCGCTACCTGGCTTCCCGATTAGCAGGGAAGCCGTCTCCATGCTCCCTCGTCACTAAGTGACGAGGGAGCATGGAGCCGGCTTTCTGCACAATCAGGAAGTCAGGCGACATGCGTTGTCCGGCTTCCTGATTGGTCGAGAAGCTGGCCAATCAGGAAGCTGAGCAACGCGTCATTACACAGCTCCCAGCTTCCTGATTGGCCAGGAAGACAGCTCCATGCTCTCTCATCACAAATCAGGAAGCTGGGCAGCGTGTAATGACTTGCTGACCAGCTTCCTGATACCGGAAGCTTAAGTATCGGACCAGGCATCAGAGCATTTGAGCGAGTACAAGTACTCGCCCAAATACTCGGCATCGCCATGGATACTAATACTAGTATTGGTATCGGTGCATCTCTACTTTAGACCATAGATACCTGCTTTTTGTATTTGTGTAACTCAGTGAAATAGAGATTTGTAAATTAACCACTAGAGAGAGCTCTGCGTATGACGTTTTTGAATAACTAATCTTAGATTTGTTTATTGTTAAAAGCAATTGTAAAAAGAAGAGAAAAGAGAATAGAAAAGAATTAGTAAACAAGTTGAGTTTATATATACATCACAGACCTCCCCTAGTGTCCCATCTACATTTTTAATTCCAAACTATACAAAAAGAGATTTAAAACATTAACACACACTAATATATTTATGAACATCAAGCTGACAATATACTGTACAGTCATGGCCAGAAATATTGGCACCTCTGCATTTCTGTCAGATAATGCACCACTTTAGGCAGAAAATTGTTGCAATTACAAATGTTTAGGCGTTCTCATGTTTATTTCTTCTGTTTGTATTGGTATGACACAAAAAGTGGAGAAAAGAAAAGCCAAATCTGACACATTCCACACAAAAATCCAATAAAGGACTGGACAAAATTATTGGAACCCTTAATAAATATTTGGTAGCACACCCCTTGGAAAAAATAACTGAAATCAATCTCTTCCTGTAACCATCAATGAGTTTCTTACACCTCTCTACATGAGTTTTGGAGCACTCTTATTTCCCCAGCTGCTCCAGGTCTCTTAGATTGGAAGGGTTCCTTTTCCTAACTGCTGTTTTGAGATCTCTACACAGGTGCTCTATGGGGTTCCGATCCAACTTTCTGACACTGGGCATTGCACCCCAGAATTCTTTGGTAGTCTTCAGATTTCATAATGCCATGCACACAGTGAAGGCATCCAGTGCCTGAAGCAGCAAAGCAGCCCCAAAATATCAGTGAACCTCCGCCATGTTTGACAGTAGGGACTGTACTTTTTTCTTTAAAGTCCTCATTTCTTTTTCTGAAAGCAGTAGAATGATGGGCTTTACAAAAAAGCTGTAATTTTGTTTGGTCTGCCCACAGCACATTCTCTCTAAAGGATTTTGGCTTCCTTAGGTAAGTTTTGGCAAACTCCAATCTGGCTTTTGTATGTTTCTGTGTCAGCAGTGGGGTCCTCCTGGGTCTCCTACCATAGCGTTCCTTTTCATTCAGACGGCGACGTATAGTGCGAGCTGACACAGTTTTACCCTGTGCCTGAAGGTCAGCTTGAATGATTAGCTACATTGCCATGTGCTGCAAACTTCTTGACAATGTTGTGCACAGTGGACACATGAACATTAAGATCTCTGGAGATGGACTTATAACCTTGAGATTGTCCATGGTTTTCCAAAAAAACTTGGAATGCAATTATTTCTTGCAATTTGGAGAAGGTGCCAATAATTGTGTCCAGTCCATTTTTGGAGTTTTGCGTGGAATGTGTCAGATTGGGGGTTTTTTTCCCTCCACTTTTTTGTGTCATACCAATACAAACAAAAGAAATAAACATGAGAATGCCGAAACATTTGCAATTGCAACAATATTCTGCGCAAACTGGTGCATTATCTGAGAGAAATGCAGGTGCGTCAATATTTTTGATATATATGCTGCTTTTAAATTTGTTAATGAGGTTCAGAGATAATCCATGGGCTTGTATGGTAACAATGCTGTCTTGAGTCACCATCACTTGTAGAGTTCACTACTGTAAACGAATTTCTAACTTTCAGTATTTTTATGCTCCTTTTAGGGTCCCCCTATTATAGTGAAGACCCCTGTGCCATATATGACAATGTGCTGGAACTGACACCAGTGAGTACTATTCACATCTATTCTACCTTATTCAGTAAACTTTTATTAAAGGTAAATTGTTCTCAAAGGGTATGTACACCCTAACAAGGAAATCCTCCTATGTTTCCCTGTTGGTCTCTTAGACAAGAACTCTGTGCATAGAAAGAGTTAAGTGATCGTTTTCATCCAGGGTTTAAAATAAAAAAGATATACTAACCTGATTCTCAGTCCTGCGGCAATGACCGCTCACCTCTCTCCCCCTCCGCTGTGGCTGGGGAATGTGCCTCAGCGTACTAATGTCCAA